TTTTAAAGCAGATTTATTCATGAGATAGAAAAAAATCACCAAGATCTCGTGATTCGCTGTCGAACTTATTTCAATTCCAAGTGCTTGGATCGAATCGAATCGAAAGCATCATTAGCTTACGCTTTGACCCGAGTAGCTTGGAGTTGGGACACATGAAATCCCATGTTATTGCATGAGCAATTCAATAAGAGAGCTCGGATCGAATCGGTATCGGTATTAAATGTCAAGTGTAATTCTCTCTCTTGTGGTACTCCACCAACAAGGGCCATAAACCTCCAAAAAGTATCCTTATTGTAGAAGTGTAGAGTGGCATCGAGATATCAAGAAAATTGCAGGTTACGCATCAATGAATAATTTAGTATAAGAATCCAATCATAATACTATAATCTTTAAATCACATACAAAAGGAAAATATTGATAACGTCTCCCCAAAAATTACAGATTTGTGTTATATATAGGGATGACAACGAGTCGGATCGGGTCAACCTCCCCCGTCCCGTCGGGTAATTTTCCGCCCCGTACTCGCCCCATTACCCGTTTAACATGGGGTTGGTCGGGGTGGGGACGGGGTCCTTGCCCAGTTTACTACCTGTTTAATTTTTTTTAAAGTTTTTTATAATTCATTTTATTGTCTCCATTTATTAAAGTGAGATAATTATATATTTTTTATTTATTTTTAAAAGTTAAATTATTCAAATATATTTGATAAACTAAAGCTTTTATTATTTATCATATTTTTAGATAATCTTAATTGTCATCTTCTATTAGAATTAATGAAATTTCGTGGAGTTTTCCATTTAAAATATTGAATTATTAATTAAAAAAATTAAAAATTAAACGGGACGGGACGGGACCGGACGGGACGGGATGGGATGGGATGGGATGGGGTACTTGTTACCTGAATACCCGATTAAACAAGTAATTCCCGCCCGGTTTGGGGAGGGGACCGCGCTTATCAAGTTTGACGAGTTTTTTTGTCATCCCTAATTATACATAAATATAAATAATTCTCAATTCAACAAAGACCGAGATGTGACTCTAGTGGTAGGAGCAAGTCTTATCAGGTCATTAGCGTAAATATGAGTCTCATCTATAGGGTAAAGGTAATATTTAAAAAGAAAAAAAGAAAAGAAAAATCGCTAGTCAACAACACATGTTAGACATTATAAACAACTCCATCGATTTAAAGCACATTCACTTTTTTAACTTTGGCATATAGTTGTACATTTAAAATGCTACAACAAGCAATTTAAGCGTAAAAGCATGACAATTATGACTCTTCATGTAACTCTTTATCTTTAAGACAGTCTAGTTAAGATCGAGAAATTATTTTTGAAGTTATAAAACCCTAAGACGAGAGTGTAGGTTTAGCATTCAATACTAAATGAGATTGAACAATATATGTAAGAAGATTTTGAATTATTTTTCTTCCAAACTATTCAATAATTACTTACTTTACTTTTACCAAAGGGAAAAACTTCATTATATGGAGCAATCCATTTGGATTTTGATAGCTCCAAGAAAGTTGTCATTTTACTTTTTGTCACTGTTCTTTTTTTCTGTTTTGGGGTTTACTTATTCCTTAGAGAACTTACCATATATTCTTTTTCAACCAAAAACATTTTTATTCTTTTTTAACCACACATCCTTCATCAATCTACTATTTCAAAATATATTTTTCAAAAAGAATGGGACTCAAACACCTCCCGAAGTACCATATAATAAGGACAATCGACCATAAACAAAAAATTTAAGATACTCAATTTTTATGACAAGGTAAACAAAAAAACTATAAAAATAGCAGCAAAAAGGTTGAAAAGTCTGATCTTTGTTTGCATGTCAAAAACAACCTCGATACGTGAAAGCTTACACGTGATGTGGCCCACAAAATTCTACACGTGCAATTTTAAGTTGATTTCGTCAAAATAATTTTTAACGTACATGTGGCATAAAGTATATCACCAAGAGTCTTTAAAAACTAAACGTGTGAAATAGACACAAGAACTATGTATTCCCATCCAATATAAACTTCCAATTAATCTTTGTTACCCAAGTATCTTGTTTTTACTCTTTACCCTAAAGTTAAAATGCCACACCCTACCAAAATACATCAAAAGATTGAGAAATAATGATTAGGCATGAGTCCAAACATTGGATCTCTCCTTCTTTTGACATTGATTTGATTAATTCATGTCAATTCTTGGTTGCTTTGATCTTGATACAATTTTGTTTGGATTCCGAGATAATACCATTTAATTCATCGTTTTCATCATCAAGCATAACTCATTTATTTGTTCACCGTTTCTGTCCAACATTTAAAAGAAATCCATTGGTTTACAATCATGCCGCGAGTACGGGGTTTTTTTGACAGAGAAATCCTTACAAACAACACATGACGCGACATCATTAGAAGATGAGAAAAAAATAATGCAATCACATTTTGCCAAACTAGCATCAATACATATTATGTTAAATTTTTTTTGTACTTAGAGCTTTATTCATTGGTTTAACTTATGAACGGTAAAGTTTTTTATTTTTTCCAAGTCCAAATTAATTTAAAAATTTAAAAGATTTAGACAGTTACAAAATAATATATCTATAGTACATTTTTTTGTTGTGTTGAAATGAACATTTTTTTTTTTTTTTATCATTTCACTCTATTCATCACTGCATCCATCAAAGATCCAATAAAATCAAACGGACCACTTTGAAAATACCCATAAACCCTTTTAAATTATAGCTGTGGGGATTGGTTTAATTTGCAAGTACCCTAAGGACGAGTAATAATGGTAAAAACAACTAAACTTGGCCAAAAACATAAAAATAATACAAAAATTTCAATCATGCAAGACCAACTTGTATGTGATCCGAGCCGAACGAATTTGCAGCTCTAGTTCGATTTGGCACAGAAAAGGACAACACCTTTCACCACGATGAAACACCAAACACACTATTACACAAATCATCTTAATCGTGTTCATTACTGTTAACCTTTCGTACTAAAGTTCGACATGCCAAACTGGCTCCAACAAAATCGAACATGCAAGATAGTGCTCAAACGAAGAATGCATTTCCTCTATGAAAATTAGTCAAGTTTAACCAATAAGGCAATGATTGTATCTTTTAGAAAAATGTTACTTGTACAAAAGAAGTTACATAACAGTTTACAAGCAAATGAGGTGTCAAAAAGCGAATAGAGAAGTTTTTTTTTTCTCTTTGAAGAAAGTCAGATTCAAATATATGTCATCATGAATATGTAAATCATTATATAAACATATTATATAGGTGTAGCACCCGGTCCTTTTACAATTATGTCAGAAGGCTGTGGTCTCTGATTGGTGAGATCTTGAATTGACCATAATCACAATGACAAGCCACCTTACCAAAACATTATGGACATAGATTCACTCTCCACTTGCAAAATTTCAGAAAAATTTCCATTTCCAAACAGGAGCATACTACAGGTACAAAATGGATTACAAAATGNTTAGGGCCTGTTTGATACCCTTAATTTTCCCTGGAACTAGAATTTTTTTTTTCCATTTTCTAGCTTTTACCTTGTTTGATAGTAGAAATTTCTCATGGAAAATTTTCTCAATTTCTCTCACATGCACATTTTCCTTGATTTTGTTGAAATTAATTTCCCACCTTTTAGGTGGGTTTTCATTTTCTAGCTTTTTTTTTATATTTATAATTGGGAAAAATTATAGACTCAATGATAAAAAAAATTATTACTTTTATTAACAATTTTCATGCAAAACAAGCCAAACGAATGATATTCGGTATGGTAATTTTTTTTTAAAATATTTTTTTGGTAAGTGAAACAAATTCTAGACTCAATGGTAAAATAAATTATCACTTTAATCGACAATTTTCATGAAAAATAAAGTCAAACGGACACCAAACTTTCAACATTTTTCAGGTGAAAAATTATACCAATCAAACACAATTAATTACAATTCCCATTAAAATAATTTCAAGACAATTCAATTCTCTGTAATTCATTTTCTTTCCACTTATTTTTCACATTTGCAATCAAACGGACTCTAAGTTTCTTGTAAAAGAAAAACACAAAAAGGGGAATTATTCTTGATTTTCCATTTCAAGTCGAAGTTTTTTTGACCTAAATTTGTTACAGGTACCACGTTGAGTGTCAGCACATGAAAATGAAAGAAAATGTAGTCTCAAAACGAACATCAGTAGACAAAATGGCTGAGGAAAACTCGGAAAAGTTAAATTTGTGAGTGTCCACGTACAGGTAAAGATTTGGATTCTACATTTGCATAGGCATCAAAATACCAGAAAAATTCACAGCAATTGGGGACTTTTCACTAACACAAAGCGTTAAAAAATATTTTAGTTATGAGCGTAAGGACGTTGTTTACAAATTTTTAACACAAAATTCCCCGTCTCTGTCTTCACATGCTTGAAAAATGTAACAATAAATCTAAAAAAAATCAGCCTATTCAAATTTTAGAGCCCCTAAACGATGAATCTTGAACAACCAAATCATCATTACTAATCAAGGACAAATTTGAATTTGTCTACATCATAACAATAGAATATGCTGTCACCAGGAAATTTTGAGTTTGAATGAGTTCGTTTTCATTAGCATGTCATATTACTTGTCCTACAGTTGGCATCAGTGTGAATACATCTCAAAAAAGGGGAAAGAAAAGGTGCAAAGTTGAAAAAGTTCACACACTAAATTAGCTTGCCACCTCCGCCCATGCCCACAAGCACAAATTTAGGCCAACAAGAGGGCTTGAACAAGTCACATAGTGTGCAACGCTAGGAAAAAAATATCTGAAGCACGGTACGAATGTTCTATGAAATCTTCATTTATTTATTAAATACGATCCACACCACTCACTCTGAACCCTGTAAATGAGGTTTTGTATACAACACAAATGAAACATACCACTACGACTCCAGGCACGATGTCTTCCAGGATAGCTTCTATAACTCCGAAAACTGCATTCTATTCATGTGCGGCAGCTCTAGTCAACGTGCAGCAAGTGAATGGGAGCTCTCTACAAAATTACGGCATCGTCATCGAAATAGCAGACTCAATTTTGAGGTTCAGAGTAAGCTGTGCAGCCAGTTTTGCAGAACAATTGATAAATTAAGGAACCTATTATGTATTCCTATCAGTGGATGAATTCGTGAACATTATAAGAAATAATTATCAGCGCTTTAACATCCAAATAACATATCTACATCATCAGCAAATCATATGGTATATGGACAGAGAAATAGAATCGCCTGTAGTCATGGTTGATATCTTCACTTTACAAAATATAGTCGATTGAAACACTAAGCACAAAACAAGAACCTCCTGAGTTCATGTTTGAGTTTTTCATGCATCCAAAGCATATGTTTCTAATCCTCCAAGAAAGCAGGTTATCAATTGAATTTGGAGTGAACCATGTTATAAAACATGTTCTTAAAAGCCCCCCCAAAAAAAATGTAATAAATTTGACATTGTAATCCTCCCTTGATCAGTCCATATAAGGATATCAATCGTCCAGCTTTACTATTAGTTTTATCAGCATACTAGTGCTAGGAATTTTGAAAATTTTAGATAGTCACTATTTCTGAAGTTATTGTAGTGCTGCTTTAACTCCTATTGGTACTTCAAAATGGGTAGAAATTGGTGGTGCAAATAGAGGCAATTGCCAGATTGGCTAGAAACAAGAGCAGCTTCAATATTATAGAATCAGATCTGTCTTTCTTTGAACAGAATGAAAAGAATCACTCTTCCTAACTCAATTGGCAAGAACCTCAGGCTAACAACGTGTTATAAAACTAGTGAGAATAAACCAATAATAAGAGAGCAAGAGAGTCAAATATGCAATGCATGTATTCTATTGAGAAAATGACTTAATATTTATATGGTAGAATTAGAGTTGCAGGGACAAATTAGTCATCTATAAAATATCCTTGATTCACAACATAAATAAATTAATTTAAATTGGGAAAACACATAGACGAAATAAATAAACGTGTGTGTAAATATTACATAAGGTGAGGCCTACTTAAAAGATGCTTTTGTAGTCTCTCTCTTTGCCTTTAACTCTATTCCCCACTACTCTCTACCCCTCTTCATTTTTATTCATGTACGTATATATTTTTTTCTCTATCTTTTCTGATTCTTGTTCCCTTTCTCATTATCTTTGTTGTTTGGTGAGTTAAAAACTGAGAAAGGAATCAAGAAAAGAAAAGCATCAACTGCCCCCAAATTTTCATGGTGAATAGAGCCCAGAAAGATCATGGAGCGCTATGAATATTAGTCAAACTCAGGTTTTTTAAGAGATCAGTGTAACTCATTTAAGATTTTAGAAGTTTGATTCTTGAAATTACTCCTCATGGCCGGAAGTAATGAAGTAAAAGTTAATGACTCAAAGGTAATTTTTCAATTATTTTTCCTGTATTGCTCATTATTTATTTATATATTTATTTATTTTAAATTGAGGTGGGTGGGAAATAGTTGGGGAAACTTTTTTATCATTTCTCTACTTTTGGCTAATTAATCTTGTGGGTTTGAGTTTTCTGTTGGTTAATTTGTGATTTATTGAGAAAAAGGGGTCTAATTTGTGGTGAAACTTCGAATCTTTGCCATTGCATTTGTTGGAGATCTTTAACAATAATAATTATGAGAATCAGACCTGTCTACACAAGTTTGGTTAATCCAAAATAGCACTCAAAATTTAGCATACGTAAAACTCGGAACATTTGTCACGGATCACCTCAACATTCACTCGTTAGCATCGAAAGCGAGTCTGACTGGTGGACTTCCAACCATACTAAGGGAATAGTCAAACTACAAGTTCCTGCTCTTCAACAGATATGTTCCGCCATATGTTAATATTGTTGACACTTGACACTCGTCAGGGATATTACTGTATTTGAAACTATTACCATTAAAGAATGCCACGTGGTAGTGCACAAAATCCACAGCAGAAATCTAATAACTAAATTTCGAAAATTTTCTGATAGATACAATTTCACTCGATCTTAGTCGTCTCATGAAATTGATAGTGTCTATTGAAATGCAACAGGATTATCTATACTGAAAGGTCAAAGATACACAGCTACATGTACATATAGTCTTGACATAAATTTGGAGATCTGCACATATTGCTAGCAAATAAATGGTCAATGTCAACAATCAACAGACACAAGTTAAAAGAGGTTGCATTAATTGTTTCCTGCAGGCTCATGAAATAAAACCACTATACTATCATTTGTACTCCAGTAAATTGGAATTGAACCATTTCAACACTAATACACACATACTTCACGTGTCAAGAAGACAAGAGGCAACTAACGGCAGGATTACAGAGGAGAACGTTACCTTTAAATTTGATGAAACGTGTAGTTCGTCTCTCTGACAGAATGATCGTGATTGTTATTTAATTGTTTCTAAGAATTTCAACACATATTGTTCATTGGAAGGATTTTCTATGAACTTTGCGCATCCAAAGAAATTCTGTATCCATGCTTGCACATCATCCCTAAAACCTGCTCAAGTTTACTTCTTTGACCCCACCTAGAATAGGACTCGTGCAATATCCAGAATGTTTTCTTCGTGCAGTGCATATTCACTCTATCCATCTCGTCAAGAACCCTCTCCATTTCAGCAAGACGCATCTGTGCTGAATACATAACCATCTTGCAATGATAAAGAGAACGACAGATTTTCCAACCTGCAGACTCTGCACGCTTCACAAAATCAGCAAGCTTGTCCACAGCATTGTGACGGTAATAACTTGAAATAATGCGTCGCATCACGCCAGCAGTTGTGACGGATGCATTATGTTCAAAAGCATGGTTGATTGAAACTTCCATTCGATCTAATAAATCCTCTTTTGCATATACACAAATCAAGAGCACGTTTAACCAAGGTCTATAATCATTTTCTGGGATTAGTTTGAGCAATTCCTCAATCTTTTTAACTTTATTGATATCATTACTCTTACAATATGCACATATCATGGCTCTAATCAACGGAACTTCCTTTTGATTGACGTGATCTCTTAGCATCTCATAAACCTGTTCCATCTTTTCCAGCTTACCACAATGTGCATATCCTCGAAGCATCAGCAAATCAGTATCCAAATCAGGCTTGACATCACTTGCCTTCATGATCCTGTAAGTGTTCTCCATTTCATCCCACATCCATGCTGTAATATACCCAGCAATTAAACCATTGTACGTATTGACAGTTGGGGAGAGATTTAAATCCTTTATCTCTCGAAGAGTCGCCTCCATGTGATCTACAAGCATCAAACGGCCAAAAGAGGAAATAAGAATGTTGTATGTTACAATTGTCGGTGTACATGTGGCTTCCTTCTTCAACTGCTGAAACAGTGACTGACATTTCATGGCCAAACCGTTATATGTGTAAGCACTCATGAGTGCATTATATATAGATGCTGTTTTTAGCTGTTTATTGGCAGCCTCATTAAATAACTCAATTGCAAGATCAACATTCTTTGATCTACCAGCCATAGTAATTCCCTTCGCATACTCCTCTGCGGTCATAGGAGAGGCATAGTCCAATTGTTTCCTTCGCCAATTTAAAATCTGCCAGTAAGCATTTCATGGAGCTAATTCTGTTATTAAGAACCCAGTGTAATACTAATTACTAAAATATATCAAGCAAAAAAAATAAAAAAATACCAACACCAATCATATCATAGTTATGTACCCAAATTTTCACTACTATGAACAAAAGGAGTATATAGAAACAAAAGAGAGCACCTCCAAAGCTAGATGGGGCGAAGGCTTTAGCTGAGAGTAGAGCTCCACTACAGCAGATCCATCAGAATAACTCCTAAACAACTCGACCCCATTTTCTTCTAACACTTTCCCTATCTTCTCTACATCATCATTTTGCATCAAAATCTCGTCTTTCAATTTTGAAACCTTGTCCTTCAAATCTTGCTTCAATTTGGAATAAACAGAATCACTGCTCCACTTGTCGGAAAACAGCGTTATGATATCTGACCATATTCTATGGTTAGAATTACAATATTTTCGGAGAAAAGGTAATTGGATTGAGGGCTTTGGGTTTCTTGTTTGGGTTTTGAATGAATAAGGAGTAATTTTTCGGCATCTGTGGAGGAAAATTTCCATTTCGCTAAGTCGAAATACTCTCAACGGTCGATTCGTCACTGTAAAATAAAAAATATGAGGCTTTTATTCATATTCTGAATTCTTGATTATATGAAATTAGGGTTTTCGAAGGGTTTCTCATAAATCATAGACCAGGACTGGGAGTGGGAGGAGAAGGGGGAATTGACAAGATAGCCTAGTTAAACTTGCCAGTAAAGTTTATAAAGTGTAACTACGGTACCAAATATTTCACATTTATGCAGACTTTGCCCAAGTCTTTCATTTGTGTCATTAGAGGTACCAAACCGTAAAAAACTGCAGTTCTAGTCCAATTGACAGAAACCGTTACTTTTTCTGTTAGTTGACCAAATATCAAAAGTCTGACAAATGTTGATTAATTTTTAAAGGGCAAAAGGGCAATTTTACATTTTTCCATATAAAAAACCAAAATAAAATAATTAAATAAATAAAAACAATTATCTTCTCCACCCCTCCCAGCCCACCCCCACCCAAAACTAAAACCTCTAAAATGCCAACACCACCACTCCGATCCAATTCCCGCGCCACCTCTCCAATCCATAACCCACCCACAGACGAGTTCACACACTTGCAGAACCATCAAATATACATTCAATCTAAACACCACCACCCAACCCTACCGTAGGTCAAGCCGTCTATGACGCTCTGATTTCTCTCTTCACCTCTCTCAGTCGCAAGTTGCACATGAATGATAGCCTCTAAGCAGGGACGGACCCAGCATTCGTATTCAGCCCGGGCGGACGTTGATCGGTCAACGTTCGCCCGTCAACGTCGACAATCGGCAATCGTAAGAGCGAGGTCATTTATTAATATTTAATTAAATAATATTAAAAATTATTCAATATATATGTAAACGCACTAAAACGTAAGAATT